CCGGGGACAGCGGGCGAGGATCCGAGGACAGACTCCGGATAGGTGGGGCTGGGGGCCTTGTCGCTGCGTCTCTGATTTCGCGTCTGTCTTTGTGGTTCTCTCGAGAGAGTCCCAAGTGTTACTTTCCTGCCTGGCGACCCCGAGTCAATCCCCAGGGAGTGCGGCTGGACCAGCGCCTAAGATCCAAGTGTCCCCCGCCCCCCCCACTCACACAGACCCCCCAGGAGGTGGGTCCCCTCTGCAAGCTCATATAGGGAGCCACAGTCCCCCTCACACTACCTCTTGGGGGGGATGTGGGGGTAAGAGAGATCCTCAGGCTGGGTCGGAGCCTACATTCGCCCCAGGTGTCAGGATCTGCCCCATATGTGAACACCTGAGCCTCAGTTTCCCCAACTCTACGATGGAGTGACTGGCCTCACGGGTGCAAAGGCCCTCCCAATTCTGAGGTCTTTCTGCCACCCTCCAGCCTCAGTGTGCCAGGAGCCCGAGGACCTGGCTGAGCAAGCCTCTCCTCTCGGTTCCCTGAGAAGTCCCTGTTGCAAACTCGTCCTTGTCTGTGTCTCCTTCGGATGGGGGGAGCCAAGGCACTTCTCATAACTTGCAGACAGGTGGGACCCAGGCACCCCTGGGAATTGGGATGAGTGGGGGGCAGCCTCCTATAATGCCAGAGACCCCCAGAGGACAAGATCACTCCAGTGGGTTAAGATGCACGTCAGGGCAGGGGGTCCAGAGTGGCCAGGCCAGACCCTAGAAGATGTTCCCATGTCGGGGCTAGAGTCACCAGCCCCGGCCCCTTCCTCCTTCCCCGGTTTCGTCTGCCCCCAGGGTAAGCCTTGCCCATTTTCCACAGAGGAAAGGGAGACGGATAGTTATCCCGACTTTCTCTGGAGTCCCCAGTCACCCCGTCTCAGAGGGGAGAGCCAAGCGCTGGCTCTAAGCTGACAGTAGGGAGGACCTGTTCAGGGACCCTCTCCCCCCACTTACAAACCGTTTGCTGCCCCCACTCCCCAACCCGCCTCGGACCTTCAACACGATTCCCAGGCTCCTGCAGACGTGGCTGCACATTGGAGATGTGATTTTCTGCACTGTGACTAGGCTGGGTTCTTTCTGTGTCTCTGATGACAATAGCCAGAGGTGGAGGGGGTCTGTCTCTGAGTTTGAGGGTACGTGTGGGGGGTGGTTGGAAGATCTGGAACCCCAGCTTGGGAGGATCAGACAGGAGAGTGTTCTGATCCAAGTGTTTGGGGTATAAAGGGGACCACTGTTAGTACTTGGTGCTTAGGACTCAGCATTTAGTAAGTGCCTACTGTTTACCAGAAACACACTCTCTTCACCCAGCCCCAGGGAGGGGGTCGCACGGCGTTTGCATATGCCTCAGGCCTGAGGTAGGGGCTGGTGGCGCTGTCCCCTTCGCTCCTATGTCCCAGGCAGTGCTAACACCCAGCTCCCACCCCGCCCTGCGCCGCCAAGTCTGGGTCCTTGGACTTTTCAGTTCCAGGGTTTATGTCTAATGTCAGGTTATATACATAATTACACCCATCTCCCAGGTGGGAAGACAGAGGTGGGGAGAGGGCAGGTCTGGACAATCGAGTATCCTCCGCCCCACGCAGATTCCGAGTCTAGGGGTGGGGGGCGCGGGGGAGCCTGGCTGCACCTGGGCTCCCCAATCCCACCTTCCAACAACCACAGATAATTAAAAATAATCGTGGGGCCGGCCTGTGGCTCACTCGGGAGAGTGCGGTGCTGGTAACACCAAGGCCACGGGT